CTGGGCAGGGGCAACCGCGGCCCGGGGCCGGGAGCGGGCGGGAGTGAGGACGCCTCCCGCGCAGATGGTCCTGGACGCCATCAAGCCCTACTGCAAGGAGGGGGAGGACATCTGGCGGGCCTCTCGCTACCGCGTGGTCATCACCACCTGCAGCAGCGCCGGCCTCTTCTACCAGATTGGCGTGAGGTGCGGCGGGTCGGCCGAGGCCACCGGGACCGGGGTCTCCAGCGCGCAGGCCTGGAGGGGAAGGGCAGCGGGGCCCGGCGCAGCCGCGTGCCGTGGGCTGACGGGCCCCTTGCCGTAGGGTCGGCCACTTCACCCACGTGTTTGTGGACGAGGCGGGGCAGGCCAGCGAGCCCGAGTGCCTCATCCCGCTGGGGCTGGTCTCGGACGTCAGCGGCCAGGTACTCCCGGGCCGCGGCCTGGCCTGGGCTAAGGGCTGGGGGCAGAGAGCGGTGCCCGGCCCCAGCCCCGCACCCCAGGCGCTGGTGCCGCAGGGCTGTGCGGGGGCGGGGCGGGCCCCAGAGCGCGGGGCCCCCAGTCTGTCTGCAGCGCCCTCGCCTCTGCCCCCAGATAGTCCTCGCGGGCGACCCCATGCAGCTGGGCCCGGTCATCAAGTCGCGGCTGGCCATGGCCTACGGGCTGCACGTGTCCATGCTGGAGCGGCTCATGTCCCGGCCGGCCTACCTGCGGGACGAGGACGCCTTCGGGGCCTGCGGCGCCTACAACCCCCTGCTGGTGAGTCCGGCACGAGCTCTGCCTGGGCCCCCCGCCTGGGCTCCCCCCGCCTGGGCTCCCCCCGCCTGGGCTCCCCCCGCCTGGGCTCCCCCCGCCTGGGCACTGCTCCTAGCCAGCAGCCCGTGGCCAGGCCGGGCGGGGCTGAGCCCAGCCGGGAGCCGGCCCGGGTCTCACTGCCCAGGAGGAGGCTTCCGGGCCGGGCGCTGTGCCCAGCAGGGCCTCCCTGGCCTCTCTAGCGTGGGCTGGCAGGGCACAGGCGTGCGCTGGCCGCGTGGGGGATGCCGTGCCTGCGCCCCAGACCCGAGCCGTGCGGGGCGAGCGTGGGCGTGGCCTTGCCCCAGCCTGTGCCCTTGTCCCTCCAGGTGACAAAGCTGGTGAAGAACTACAGGTCCCACTCGGCCCTGCTGGCCCTGCCGTCCAGGCTGTTCTACCACCGCGAGCTCGAGGTCTGTGCGGACCCGGGGGTGGTAGCCGCCCTGCTGGGCTGGGAGAAGCTGCCCAAGAAGGGGTTCCCGCTCATCTTCCACGGCGTCAGGGTGAGGCCACGTGAGGGGCGCGGCGACCCCGGGGTGGGGGGTGCGTCGTGGTGGCCACAGCCGCGCCTCAGGGCCGTGGCCAGGGAGGGCCTGTGGGGGCCGCTACGCCTCTGGCTGGCCTGGTGTGGGGAGACTCGAGACTCCCTGACGTCAGGTCAGCGCCCGGCGGGGGTGTCGGAGCAGGCGTGGGCCGCTGCCCCCAGCCTGACTGCCCCCCACCCTCGCCCCAGGGCAGCGAGGCGCGGGAAGGGAGGAGCCCGTCCTGGTTCAACCCCGCCGAGGCCGTCCAGGTCATGCGCTACTGCTGCCTGCTGGCCCGCAGCCACGCCCGCCGGGTGCTGGCCGGCGACATCGGCGTCATCACCCCCTACCGGAAGCAGGTGCGGGCCCAGCCCCGTCCCGTGCCCAGCCGCCGGGCCCAGGACACTCCGGACTCCAGCCCCGTCCCGGGTCTCCGGTTGGCCCTGTCCTGCCTCCGGCCTGGCCTCCGCGCTCGGCGCCTGGCAGTCCTGGCCGCCCCTCAGGCCGCCGGTGTTCGGCTGACCGCACTTTACGTTTCGGGCCGGCTGGCGGGGGTGCGGCCAGAGGAGCGGGCACTGAGAGGACTCCCCGGAAGCAGAGCGGGGCAGGACAGGCGGAGCCACTGAGGGCTCTGGCGCGCCCAAGGGTCCCTCCCTGGCCGGGGTCACACTCGGGCCGCAGCGGCTGCGGACAGCCTCACCGGCTGAGACTGACCCTGCGCCCCGGGGACCCCTGGCTGGCCGAACTCCCCAGCACCCCCGGCCGCCCAGCCCCGGCGGGTCCTCGGGCAGCCCCACGCCCGGGCCTGACCCGCTCGGCCCGGGCCGGACCCGCTCGGCCTGGGCCTCGAAAGGGCCATCGCCTGGTGCTTGCTGGGCAGAGGGCGGGGCTTCACCTGCGTGTGCCGCCCGGCCTGGCCACAGGTGGAGAAGATCAAAATCCTCCTGCGAAACGTGGACCTGACGGACATAAAGGTGGGGTCGGTGGAGGAGTTCCAGGGCCAGGAGCACCTGGTGGTCATCATCTCCACGGTGGGTGTCCGGCCGCAGTGTGCGAGGCCCTGGGGAGAAGCCCAGGCTGGGGTTTCGGCCAGGCGGTCCGCGGGGAGGGGGCGGGCGAGGAGATGGTGCGGGGCTGCTGCCCCGGGGCACCAGGAGCAGAGTGGGGCCGGTGGCCGGGAACCCCGGCGGCCCCTGTCGATGGCGCACGGGTCAGGGGCTCAGGGCGAGGGCACGGCGGGTCCTTGAAAGCACCCCAAGGCCCCGGCCGGGAGGGGGCCCTGGTGCAGACAGTGGGGGCGGCTCTCGCTTTGCTGGTTTTGAACCTAGAAAGGGGTGACAGTGATGTTTCACTCTGCGTAGCAAGCGCCCCCACGCCTCTGAACCCCACGTGTCGTCCAGGTGCGGTCCAACGAAGACAGATTTGAGGACGACAGGTACTTCCTGGGCTTCTTGTCCAACTCCAAGAGGTTCAACGTCGCCATCACCAGGCCCAAAGCCCTGCTGATTGTGCTGGGGAACCCCCACGTCCTGGTCCGGGTGAGTGGGGAGGCTGCGCCTGGGGCCGGGGTGGGCGCGGCCGGCTGAGCGCGTGTCCCCGCAGGACCCCTGCTTCGGGGCGCTGCTGGAGTACAGCATCACCAACGGCGTGTACACGGGGTGCGACCTGCCCGCCGAGCTGGAGTCCCTGCCTGCGTGAGGCCCCGGCCGGCCCCCTGCCC